ACCCGCGATTTTTTACTTAATTTAGTATGTCTCACGATCATCATCAACAGCCTATAAATGCCCACTGCTGAGCAAAGCCTCTTCTCACACGGAGAAGGTTAGAGCATTAATCACCACGCTTGCTCAATGCGGGTTGGCGATTTCAAACTTATAATTAGAAATTATAAGTTCAGGTTTCCTCACGATGTTTTTCCTTCACCGTTTTGTCAGTGGTGTCTAAATAATCTTAGAAAGTACATATAACTCGGAAAAAGTCACATTGGTACTTGCCGTTGGTAGGTTTCGAACCCGCACCCTCATGCATGAGAAGTGGGCGTCTTAAACCTCCGGGCCACCACGACACCTCACGATAGTTATTATAAAAACATCTTGTTGGTAATTTAAACTTCGCGTAAATAAAACAGTTTAAACATAAAATTAGTAAAATTACTGATATTTACGTATACTGTCATAAAAGTTGTACCATTTACACTTGAACACAATAATTTTACAAAAATACAAAAAAATGTCATGGTATTAGAGTATTGAGAAATAATAAAATCACTATTATGCATTACAAATAATTATTAATAGTTACGAAATTAAATTCAAAACTTATTATTAAAAAAATTGGCGGGCAATTGTACTTAGTACATGGCTAAACGCAAACACATAGAAATTATACACGAAAATAAATATAATACTGTTAATTTGAGAATATTATTTTTTAAATTATGCCATGGTTGGAACATTATTTTTAATTTATTTTTCACTAGGTAGCATAAAGTATTATACATGACTGTCGCGGGGTTTCATCCGGTATTCTGATTCTATTTGTGATGTTTTATAGCCTTTTCATTCCCCGATGAATAGGTTATCCAACACAAAATTCAATTCGTACCAGCAGTCCGAACATTATTTTAGTGCCATATTAAGTTAATACGTTTTAAATATTTAAATTTTGTTGTGTTAAATAAATATTTAAATGATTCTAAACTATTAATTCTAAGTGTTGAAAATATCATACTTAAAATAGTATTGATGACTCCAATTCTTTTGTAAGTAGAGTAAGAACTTTTGCGGTGCTCAAAAGGGCCTATAGTTGGAACACATTATGTCAAAAAAATGTAAACCACCCTGTAAACACTATAGATGCATTAAAGTGATTTGATTACCGCGTTCGAACAAACTCTTCAGTTTTGCCCACACGGTGACTTTTGTATCGATACAGTATCGATGCTGGCGCATTTTTAGTGAACAGGCGGCAGCATCGCTACCAAAAGGTAGTCGTGGGCGGGGGTCCTTTATATAAAAATGAAACCCGTTTCCCGTTGTAACGCCATAACTTGAGAACGGCTAGACCGATTTGGCTGATTTTTTTTTTTGTTGTATTTTTTATCGTCAGGAGAATGTTCTTATGACAGAAAAAGTCCTGGAAATCCTACGGGCATGGGACAAACGGGATTGCACGTACGAAGTCGAGGCCAGAAGCTAGTACTAATAAAAAAAAGGTTGTTTCTCCTAAGACCAGTTTGGCTCAACATGATCTTAATCCGCTTTCCAAAAAACCATGTATAAAGGATTTTATGCTACACTAGTGCGAAAGTCTAATTTTATTAATTTAGAACAATTAGTTGCCTCCAGTTTTAAGAGCAATTATCTTGAGATCTATAACCCTGGTGTATTATTAGAAACATATAATATTAAACGCAAACCAGAAATATGGAACCCTCGCCATGTTGCGGATTTTAACCCATTCATGGTCACTGTGTTAATTTGGGAACACCTAATAGTTTAGGGTAGAAACATTGTATTTCTATAATATAAATAAATAAACACGACTAAACTTTTTACTTTTGACCATGAATGGGTTAAAGGAACAACTTTTGTCAAACAAATTTACTTAAAGTTGACTGAAATCGACAGCAGCGCCACTTTGACAGGGTTCTTATTATTATGGTCAAATTTTATAATTTTTATTAAAAATGATTAAATTAGATTTTTTTAAATATGAAAAACAATTGCACTAGGCGATTGCACAGCCGTTAATAATACAAATTATAATAATGAAATAAAATTAAAAATTATTCTAAAACTAATAATTGAGACATTGATGATTACGTATAGAGGGCGCTACGGTTTGTGATTTTAGAAAGGTGTTTTGTGACTAAGTATTTTTATTCAGAATTATGTTGTTTATAAGAATTAACTAAAACATTCAAAATCAATGCCAATCAGATCTTACGAATGAAGATACCAAATAAGCAAGCGATATTATGCTATCTATATATAAAAAATGAATCTCTTTTTCCCTTGGTCACGGACCGATCGACTGATAGTTTATATTTATATTAACTATCAAAAATGCCTTTTGCAGATTCAAATAAATGATTTAACATTAAAATAACAAGTAAAGATACCGTAGGCGCCCTCAAAAAATCTCAGTCATTCCCAGCTACGTTCACTGACATCTAAAACGTACTACGACATCAAATTTATAGGCAATTTTAGGCAAACGCTTATACTAAAACGTATTTTAATATTTTTACTTAAAATTATTGCAATTTTTGTCAACAGATTTTCTATTATCCTAGGTTTCGGGGAGGAGAGTGGCTGACCAGGGCGCTTACTCTTGGAACCAATCTCAATGTCAATGCAATTTCAATCCAATACAATCTCAATAATTATTTAATGTCAAAACTATACAACCACTATCGTAGCTGTTAAAATAGCATTCAGAGTACGGAATATAAAGCCCAACTCAATACCATTTAGTTCATTCAATATCCACGCAATATGGATGCAATGGGCGCTAGTGTTGCAACTCAAGAGTACGAAATTTCACATTACGAATGTCGATCGATCGGAGATCGATCGATTTTACGAGTAGGAGAGCCATGCTTCGGCACGAATGGGCCGGCTCGACCGGAGTGATACCACGGCCTCACAGAAAACCGACGTGAAGCAACGCTTGCGTTGTGTTTCGTCGTGTGAGTGAGGTTACCGGAGGCCCAATTACCTTCCCCTTCCCCAATCTCCCCAATCCCTGAATCCCCAACGATCCTCAAACTCCTAATCCCCAAAAAGCCGGTGACGCACTTGTAACGCCTCTGGTGTTCTAGGTGTCCATGGGCGACGCCGATTGCTTACCATCAGGTGATCCGTCTGCTCGTTTACCGGCTTATATATTCCATAAAAAAAAAAAAAAAAAAAATTGAATTCAAGAGTAAGCCCCCAGGTGTATCTTTTATTATTATACCATGCCCTTCATTAAATAGATTCTGTTATTAATCTGGATTTGAATAACATTTTATTTTTGGTGTATGCGCAAGAAACAGTGTCTGCAAAGTCGTGTAAGTTGCGCCGTTTACAAAAAAAATCCCTTTTGACTGCTGCGAGAATTCAACATAAGGGAGTTTTTAATTTTTTAATTGATAAATTATGTAAGTATGTCTTTGGTACAAGCTTAAGGAAAGCTAGAACCGTGACGAGTAGAGACTTTTTTGATAACTTATGTATTTACCTAATTTTTTCTTTAAATAATTTCCTTGCTGTGTGCCTACTGATTTGATATATTTATAATTTTACTTTTGTCTTAGCTGTTACCTATTTAGGCGCTATTCGTGTGAATCTGTAAGTGACTTAGTGTTATTATTTTTCTGCTAAATTTGTATAATGTAGCTGTTGATTCCCTATTTAATAATAATAAAAAAGTTATATTCTAAGGAAACAGTAAAATTAACTGTAAAGTATAAAGGCATTTTTTAATCCAGGCATCCTCCTCTTGAATCCTAACGCCATATTTTTAAGTGTATCGTGTACTACACTCTGCTTATCCCTTATCTATATAATAGTGTCATGTCACACCTCTCCTCCCCAATATAATAAGACATCACTGGATCTTAAAATTATGCGTTTCGGCAACAATTCGACATATAACGACATAAGACTATCAATTTAATAAAAAAATTTAAAGAAATAATTGTAATTAATTTAAATTAACTATGTATTTACTGGGCGACTGTTGCGCAATGAAATGTATTGTTTGCGCAACTTTGCGCTTTGTTGCGCAACTTTGCGCATTGTTGGATAACGTCTAAAGAAGTTTAAGTATATGTTCAATTGTAGCTTGGAGTAAGAAATTATGGGTTTTGAAACAAGCTGCCATTAGTCGCCCAGTAAACCCAGCCGTATGATATGTGTACTAATCGACAAAAAGCTTATGTAAAGACAACTGCACGTCGAACTACCCGAAATCCTTTAAATTTCATCCATTAAAATTTCGACTTTATAACGAAACTAACTTCGTACCAGCGAAGACTCAGTTCCAAGTAATTCCCAGTCGGAATAGAGAGAAGTTTTCAAGTAGGTCCTGTAATTGGGTACTTGCCAACTAGTCAAATTCAATACGTTTTATCGAACTGTCAATTCGACAGTTTTCTATGAACTTTGTACGAGATTGTGTATTGTGACGTCACGTTTTTTAGCGTCAAACAGCATACTTGTTTCTTAAAAAAATGCTGGAAAAATACTAAAATTAGGTTGCTCATAAAATTAATTAATGAAAGTGTGATTATTGACATTTTATTGCATTTACAGTCGAAATCATTTATGTTTGATTAAGGAAAGTACCCAAACTGAATCTATTCAATGTAAACTTTCTTTATAATATAGGTCATAAAGTCGAGACTTCGTTAAAGAAATTTGACATTTCGGTGTATTTTGACGTGATTTTGTCATAAAACGTGTATCGCAGAGTATTAAGGCGTAGACTAGTACAATTTGTGTTGCCGGTGTCGTTCGCTAGATGGCGTTAAACTTTATTTTTTTAAGAATGGTGTGAGAAATACAAAATGTACCTTAACGTTTAGTAATTGATGGTTTAATTTTGTTTGGTAAGGAGATAAGGTCTATTTTTGTTTGCTTTTTAGAGAGCATTTTTAAATAGCATTTTATGATTGATATCAATATTTAAGATTTCATTACAAATATGTGCACAACTTTTCTCACTAACTTTGCCAAGTAAAAATAGACCTTACCGTAATATGATTTGCAAGTGATTACCAACCTTATGTAACAATAGTATGATTCATTGTACTGTACGTTATTTACTTTTCAACTGCTCTACTTGAAATTATACAATATTCAGCTGCAAACACAACCTGAAAAAATTAAACGAAATCAAATGATTGTGCAAAAACTTTAGTCAAACCTGTCCAGCAGATATTAGGTGACACTAGAACATACTGTTTACATATCTGTTTGTATGTAAATTCATCACATTTTACGACAACATTGTATACCTACTCTAAATGAGACAACTACGCACTGTACACACGGCCACACGTCAATCTATACAAAACCAGTTTATCATGGTGTCGCGTCGCATCATCTTTCCGCACATTTAACGTGCAGTTTATACTGGTTATGTAAAGCTCGATGTTTAGCCGTGTGTACCAGCACAATATGTCTTTAATTTGCAAAACATTTAAATAGACTGAAAACGCATGTGAAGAAAGGAGTCCTTTGCCAGAGTCTGTATTCCCTGAAGGTTATAACCTGGGTGTATTCAAGGCCCGAGTGAACAGGTTGCTTATGGGACGACGTGCTCCATCGTAGACCGCATCATCACTTACCACCAGGCGAGATTGTGGCCAAAAGTCGGCCCATCAAATATATATAAAATAAGAAAAAGACCTTTGACTTAAAATCTGATTAACTATGAAACAAATACAGTCTAAAAGTAGTTGTTCGTGATTACAACATGTTTCTTTTAATGGGTCAAGCCCGCCACAACCTCCCAAAACCGCTGCAACTTTTGTAGGCCAGGATCTACAGTAGATACAACCATGAAAACACCGGAACACTGAAGTCCGGCGCGTCCCAGGGACATGAATAACTGTCTTGGTTCCCGCAACGAAGTGAATCAGAAGATATCATAAGAGAAGAAAAATAACGATAATTTCCACTTCCCTCGGTGAATTACTGCAGGAGACAGAATGAATTAAGCCTAAAGGCACAAAAAAGAGACTACAACTGGGTGAAGCCCAGTCGTCAAGCACCAAGCGTTATACTTGCGGTGTGTAATAACCATGACGAACCTGTCCTAGTAGCGATGTTCAGGAGAGTGCGGAGACCGAGTCTGTGTCCCGGCGACCCCGGCCAGTCTCTCGCACACTGCCTCCAGTTGCGCGTCCAACATTAGGGACGCTATCTGGTCATCTGTTAACATCTCCACGCTGGAACCAAGGAAATATATTCACTTCACACACTTCAACACGGCCTATAAATGACTACTGCTGACGAAAGGTCTCTTCTCAAAGGGAGAAGGTTTGAGCATTAATCACCACGCTTGCTCAATGCGGGTTGGCGATATCAAACTAATAATTAGAAATTATAAGCCCAGGTTTCCTAACGATGTTTTCCTTCACCGTTTTGTTTGTTGTGTTTGTGGTGTCTAAATAATCTTAGAAAGTACATATAACTCGGAAAGTCACATTGGTACTTGCTGTTGGTAGGTTTCGAACCCGCGCCCTCATGAATGAGAAGCAGGCGTCTTTATACTCCAGGCCACCACTACTATATATTCATTTGTTTCACATACAATATGGACTAGATATCGATGGAATGGTAGAGGCTGATTTAGGAGAGCAACTGCTAAGAACGAAGAAGCGAGAAATAGTGAAACATCCACCATCGGTCACGGAGTCAACGGAGTAAGTGTATTATTGTAAAAATATTATTAATATAATATTATAAATGTGAAAGTTTATTTGTTTGGATGTTTGTCCGTCAATCACGCTGAAACAACTCAACGGAGTGATAGGATACTTTTTTTCTCGATAAGTGCTTCCATGAGATAAAACAGGAATCATATTCTACGCGGACAAAGACGCGAACAACAGCTAGTTACTTAATAAAGATTAAACGTTATACATTGTCACTTTGAGATTGTTTCCGTACAAAAATCACGTTGTGTAGTTTGCTAAAATAAAAACGAATCAAGTCAAATTTGCGCAACGTTGCGCTAGTTTGCGCAACCATAATTAGTTACATAAATATCTAAAAATAAATATAATAAGTAAAACACAAAGTTACCTGGCGAGACTATCAGTGTCGGAGTATCTGTCGTCGCTATGCGAGGAGGCAGCGCGGGGCGAGGCGGCGCGGCGCGGGGTGCGGGGGACTGACGACGAGCCGCGACGCTCGCCGAATAGGGATAGACCTGGAGCCATTTTAATGTATGTACATTATCTATATAAATAAAAATGAATTTCCATTCGTTAGCCTAGCTAAAACTCGAGAACGGTTGAACCGTTTAAATGTGGGAGAGCCATGCTTCGGCACGAATGGGCCGGCTCGACCGGAATGATACCACGGCCGAGCAGAAAACCGACGTGAAGCAACGCTTGCGTTGGTTCACGCCGTGTGAGTGAGGTTACCGAAGGCCCAATTACCCTCCCCTTCCCCAATCTCTCCAATTCCTGAATCCCCAACGATCCTCAAACTCCTAATCCCTAAAAGGCCAGTAACGCACTTGTAACGCCTCTGGTGTTTCAGGTGTCCATGGGCGACGCCGATTGCTTACCATCAGGTGATCCGTCTGCTCGTTTATCGGCTTATGCCTTAAAAAAACCGATTTGGCTAATTCTGGTCTTTAAATGTTTGTGGAAGTCCAGGGAAGGTTTATAAGAAATCAGTCGGGGAAAAAATTTTTGTGACGATACGGAGTTTGCCTGGTCACCCAATTATCATTATTTTACTAACTGGCGACCGCACAACGTGTCACGGGTTTAATTTTCACACGGAACCACTTATATACGATTCACAAATTGTTATTTCGGGTGTGGGTGTGTGAAATTGTATCTTTTTAAACGTATCCACGACACTTGAAATCAGTAATGCGAATGATTTTAGGTCGATCAAAGTGATATTAATTGCATTCTGGTTCCTCTAAAATTCACCAAATTAAAGCGTGACCTTGTTTATTACGATGTTTGTGGATTCCACTACTAACCTTGGAACATCTCCTTGACCTTCTCCCCGGTATCATGCAGCAGTGCGTCGAGGCTCTGTCTCCGTGGTTTGTCGAGATCCTCCCTGAGTACATGTGTCCGGGGCGCAGTCCTAATGATACGCCGGGGCTCCGCTGCAGACGCCCGGGACTCCACCGGACTGGGTGGGGACCACTTCTCTGGGGTCGACCGAGCTCGGAGCGAACATTTTTCGAAACTCACCTGGATAATTTTGTTTCTTTTAGTTTTTTTGTGTCGATTAGAACAAGGGAAAAATAATGTCAATTTCCTACAAAATTAGCACTACAAAAGAAAACTATGTTTTTTCATCACGTCATGAACTAAAAGGTATATCTTAATATATATATTAAGATCTTAAATATTTTCGATTCAAAAGCATTGACTTTATTTAGGCTTTGATTCTTAATAGCCTGAAAAGATTAGTTTTTTTGATTCCAAGAGAATATTAAAGACCTTTAATAATCAATTATTTATACAATTTTCATGATGATCCCAAAAGTATTCCCCTTTTAGCAGTCATCAAAGTCAAAGTCAAAGCATTAATTTCAATTAAACCATAATTTGATACTTATAAAACGACATCTGAACAATTATTAAAAAAATACCTAATTAATCTTGAAGACAATATGTCTTATCCTGAAAACACTAAGTGAAGACACCAACCTCTTCCGGACTGGAGTAATCCAGATCGATCTCAGTCCAGGTGTCGGCGTCGGTAGGCGGGCGCGGGCGATGGTGCGCGGCGCGACGGAGCCACTCCTAGACAAAGTGAAGACACCAACCTCTTCCGGACTGGAGTAATCCAGATCGATCTCAGTCCAGGTGTCGGCGTCGGTAGGCGGGCGCGGGCGATGGTGCGCGGCGCGACGGAGCCACTCCTAGACAAAGTGAAGACACCAACCTCTTCCGGACTGGAGTAATCCAGATCGATCTCAGTCCAGGTGTCGGCGTCGGTAGGCGGGCGCGGGCGATGGTGCGCGGCGCGACGGAGCCACTCCTAGACAAAGTGAAGACACCAACCTCTTCCGGACTGGAGTAATCCAGATCGATCTCAGTCCAGGTGTCGGCGTCGGTAGGCGGGCGCGGGCGATGGTGCGCGGCGCGACGGAGCCACTCCTAGACAAAGTGAAGACACCAACCTCTTCCGGACTGGAGTAATCCAGATCGATCTCAGTCCAGGTGTCGGCGTCGGTAGGCGGGCGCGGGCGATGGTGCGCGGCGCGACGGAGCCACTCCCGGACGCTGGCGTCCGTACTGCTGTCGCACAGCTCGTCCAGCTTGTCGCTGCTCGTGGTGTTGGTGTCGCTCGCCGTGTCCGTCGTCGTCGAGCGGTCTATCTCTGGAACTTTTACTATTTCTATACTTGTCAATGTTAAGAATATATATAAAAAGCATGTTTTAACTAACAGTTAAATGAACCTCTCACCGCTAACCGGGCACAATGAGGACTACCGGAAGTAAGTTAATGCTACCGCGCGTCACTCGTCAGTACCGCTAATATGGTGACAGGTCTCATGTCCACTAGTTCCACAACTAACTATCTATGTATTTGTTGACGGACTTAAATTCTTGACGGGTGCAATGGTGCCTTGTGGAAAAAGTGCGCTGATGTTTTTCCACCATCTTTAAAATCATTTTCATTTGAGACTACGCAAATTTTGGCAAAAACCGGAAAAATCCTAATAAAATTTTTAACAACCTGCGAATGGAATCTGAGTCTCTAAGACCCCTTGTTCCAGTTCCATATGTAATCACTTCATTAACGTATATTCCCTTGAGATTTAAAGACATAATATTATGTCACAAGGTAAAACAGCACTCACCATTCCTAGCAGACTGTCTTCTAGATCGATGTTTGTGTATTTCATCGGAAATCCTCTCCAAGTTCCGCAGCGCTGAGGAGTACTGCTGCTTGGCCTCAGAGACCTGCTCCTCCAACGTTTGGATCCGAGCCTTCTGAGCTTCTAAAGCTGTGTTGATTCTAGCCTTCTCTTCGAAATATGGTCTGTAATTTTGTAGTATTAGTCATACTTTTCATTTTATATAGTAGTACAAAATAAACTAGTTTCGATTGATATTTGCTACACTTTGGAACGAGCCCCTACCTTTACTTACAATTCAATTTGACTTTTAAAAGTGCCTAATCTAGGATTAATTGAAATAAATGCCTTGACTTTGACAACAGATTCACCGATTTTTTTTTATGGAATAGGAGGCAAACGAGCATACGGATCACTTGATGGTAAGCGATCAGCGCCGCCCATGGACACCTGGAAAATCAGAGGAGTTACAGGTGCGTTGCCAGCCTTTTAAAAAGGAATACTCTTTTTTCTTGAAGGTTTGAAGGTCGTATCGGTTCGGAAATACCGCCGACGACAGATCATTCCACAGTTTAGCTGTGCGAGGCAGGAAGCTACGTGAGAAGCGCACAGTGGTGAAGAGTCGCCTGCCAACCATCTATATGATGGGGATGCATATGCTGTCGTGAGGGTCGATGGCGAAAAGATGCGGCAGGTATCAGGTCAAACAATTCCTCAGAGCACTCCCCGTGGTACAAGCGATAGAAAATGCACAACGAAGCTACATCTCTACGCATTGCCAATGTGTCTAGCCGGTTTGCAACATCTTGATATCCAACAATAAGAACGGCACGCCGCTGAACGTGGTCCAGAGGAAGAAGTTAGTACTGGGGTGCCCCCGCCCAAAGATGAGAACAGAATTCCATTTGGGGCCGAACCTGCGCCTTATATAGAAGTAAGCGGTGGGCCGGGGTGAAATACTGCCTTGATCTATTGAGCACACCAAGCTTCCTCGAGGCTAATTTGGCCTTATCCTCTAGATGACTGCGAAACTGGACGTCGCTCGAAATGCTGACACCAAGTATTCTAATACCGGCTGAGGCAGTTAGGCGGCTATTTTGAAACTGACATTCACCGTCAACAACAACCTTAATGGTTCTGTCTGCAAGGAGGAGGAGACCCATTCGCATAATTTCTCGAGAAGCCCGTAGGAAACAAGCTTCGAAAGAAGCGCTCTATGCCAAATCCGATCGAAGGCCTTCGCCACGTCCAAACTTACTGCCAACGCTTCCCCCTTAGACTCGATCGCCCGTGCCCACCGAAGTCCTAGGTCACATAGGGAAACTAGAAGATCACCAGCAGACCGACCTTTACGAAAGCCGTATTGCTGGTCACTGAGCAGCTCATGATCCTCTAAGTAACGCAGGCAGTTAATAATGGACTTCATTGTTTTAGAGAAGTTATGGCTATCGGTCTGTAGTTTGATCGATCACCTTTTTTATTATCGGGTGGACTAAAGCTGTCCCGCTTTCTGCGTGAGGCCTTTCTGGTAGAAGTACCAAACCAGGGCCGATATCAGCCACTGCCAGGGAACCAGAGAAGAGAGGACGAAAAGCTACATCCCCTGCAGCACCACATCAGTAACAGAATTGGCAGCGGCGTTGGATCATCCTGCAAGAAGCAAGCCCGCCTCCAAGGGTAGGATGCAAAAAAGGACCGCATCCCATCCCAGTCTGCCGACCTATAGTGCCATACACGGCGACCGCGTACCTCTTGTAGTCGCGGTGAGCACGTCCAAGATACAGAGCTCCGGACAAGGCAATGGTCCGATGAGCCAAGAGGGGCATCAATGGAGAAGCAGTAGCCGTCCGGGTGAGAGGCCAGCAGAAGGTCCAACAGTGAAGACCTCTGGCCCTCTACATCTGGAATTTGCGTGGGTGCGGTCACCAGTTGTGTCAGGCCAGAAGAGAGGGTAGTCATGGACGGATCTCCCCGCGTGGTCAGTCATACTGGAGCGAAGCCAGTCGGCGTGATGTGCGTTGAAATCGTCAAGTAAAACCACTTCCGCTGAGGGTATCTGCCCCTGCACGAGATCTACAGCTGTCTGGATGTGGTCCATATGTCGGTCAGTCTCGCTATAACCGCTGTATGACCTATATAGGCACGCATAGACACGGGGGTGGTCGTCGTTATCTACACGCAACCCTAAGGTGGACAGGTCCCTTCAAGATTACTGAGCCGACGAGAGCTCATATCGTCCCCGACGTACAGGCATACCCCGGCCCTAATGCTGAAGGAATGTTCCAGTCCATACTCAGGGTAGGTGAGGTAGGATGTGTCTAGTGGAGACGATATCTGCGTCTCAGTCAACAAGAGCAAGGCCGGCTTTGCTGCCTCTAGGTCGGTGTGATAATTCCTAATAGTTCCTCAAAACACAGCGCAAGCGCTGCTCTTCCGGTTTTCTGCTCGGCCCTGGTATCACTCCGGTCGAGCCGGCCCATGCGTGCCGAAGCATGGCTCTCCTAACCTGATGTCAACTTTGACTTGTTTTTTTTTGTTTTAGTAAATGTTGCCTCACACTAAGATTTTCTCCTGTGTCGTGGGTGTGGGTGTGTTGTGGGGCCAGACTCGGAGCAACTATTTGTGGATCACCCTAAACGTTGCACCGTGCGGGAATCGAACCTGCGAGACCTTGCGCGGCAGCCGGTAGCCCAGCCACCGCACCAACCGTGCCACCAAAATTTAACGAATTAACGAACTTAACTTTTAATAGAACTATGTTCATTATAATTTAGTAGTAGTAGGGTTCTACGTTAAAATATTTAGGATTTAGATGATGATGGTTATTAAAAAGATAAATTAAAGACAATAGTGTATATTTTAGAAAGTAATTTATATAGTCACAACTCGGGCGGCTAAAATACAGGGGGCTTATTGCAAGTAATTTAGTAGTTTGTGCTTCAGATACATTTGCCAGCAAAAAATACTAGGTCATGCATTTTGGTGTAATAACGTGAAAATTGTTGAAGTATTTAATACCATTTTCATAGACATTCAAGCATCCAATAAGTAAGTATTAAGTATTTTCAAACTACAGAGAAGTAAAGAAATTCTACAAGTAACATGCAACTAAAACTAAATGTGACGTTTTCTGGAAAATAAAAAAATTTAACTGTATTATTAAAGGAATAGAGTGTGATATTCCCCAAGATTAGGACAATGAGGATTTAGGACAGCCTAGATGCTACAACCCTTTATATCAACATGATAGATACATTTATTTATAGGTGAAAAACTATTTAGAAATGTATTTATAACAACGAACTACCCAGTCCACCATGTCGCGGAGAACCTAACGGGTTACCGGGGCTCCGTGTCGACGTGCAGGACAAGGAACGGGGTGATTTTTAGTCAGTAAGAGTCTGATACTCCCTCCCGCAGTCCCGCCTCACGCAGGCGGAAGCAGTCATTCTATGATTTTCCCCCCTTAAAAATTCTAAAATCCAATCCACCATCAGAAACAAAAGCGTTACATTTTGTGGTTAGCTTTCAATTGTTGGTAAATCAGCAGTCATTGACCTTGTTTTATTATATTTGATGTGCCGACGTTTGACCACTATCTCGCCTGGTGGTAAGCGATGATGCGGTCTACGATGAATCACGTCGTCCCATAAACAACCTATTCACTCGGGCCTTGAAGACACCCAGGTTATATATACGCTGGGAGTTACATACATAACATCACGCCTTTTATCCCCGAAGGGGGAGGCAGAGGTGCACATTATACCACAGTACAATGTAACACCCACTTTTCACTATTTATGTTATGAGTCCCATGTAATAGGGGCTGTGCCTATTGCCATATACCGGGCACATTTCTAGACTCCGTGCTACTACTGAGAATTTTTTTAAAAACCCAGTAATACTTTGCCCGACCCAGGAATCGAACCCGAGACCCCTTGCCGGCAGTCGCACTTGCGAACACTCGGCCAACGAGGCAGTCAACGCTGGGAGTTTATGTTATTTATATTTTTGTTATTATACCAGGTTAATATTATAGAAATCATAAGTTTCCTATATAATTTTAATATAGATACAATAATATAATACATTATATAACCTTGAAATAACCATAATAACAGAAAACGTCACAATTTTATTTAAAAAACTAAATAAATGCATGCAATAATATAAAAAATGCGGTACCAGTGAGTTGGCTGCGTCCCGGCGTGTCTGTAAAGAGAGCACTGTGCCACTAGTCAAGCAATACTTGTGCGGTGTTAATTCTGCAGACGAATTATATTATATTTATTTATAGTTACCTAGTTGGTCGAGTGGTGGCAAGTGCCACTACCGGGCAAGGGGTTTGGATTATCGGATCGAATAAAGTATTACTGAGTTTTAAACAAAATCTCAGTAGTAAAGGAATAGAAGTTCTTACTTCTGGAAATAAATAATCATCATCATCATCATTACATCACGCCTTTTATCCCCGAAGGGATAGACAGAAGTGCACATTATGCCACTGTACAATGTAACACCCACTTTTCACTATTTATGTTATGAGTTACATGTAATGGGGGTGAGCCTATTGCCATATACCGGGCACATTTCTAGCCTCCGTGCTACTACTGATATTTGTTTTTAAAAACCCAGTAATACTTTGCCTGAAACGAGAATCGAACCCGAGACCCTTTGTCTGGCAGTCGCAATAGCGACCACTCGGCCAATGAGGCAGTCACAGTTACAATGGACAATTGATCAAAATATATTTTTATTAATCTATCTATATAAATAAAAATGAATTTCTGTTCGTTAGTCTCGCTAAAACTCGAGAACGGCTGAACTGATTTGGCTAATTTTGGTCTTGATAGGTTCGTGGAAGTCTAGGGAAGGTTTAAAAGGTGAGAAAAAACTTTTAGGCGGTACGAAGTTTGCCGGGTCAGCTAGTACACAATATAATTTGTCTGCACGTATGTCATATCAACTACTGAGTTAGTGTTTATAGTATTAAAATCTAAGCTTACAGCTACAAGGTGAGATAAAGAAACACTTGCAAATAGTTGTCAATGCAAGCAATACAAAGCAATTAAAATTTAGAAGAAAAAAAAATATTTAACTTGCAACATAACTGATTTAGTATTAAAAAAGTAGAAAAACTTATAGGGATGATGACAGGGTATGAAAATTAAAAATCTAATTAGTCCGTCAATTAGGTAATGAAAAAATATTAGACACGTATTTTATTATTTTGTCGTATAATATTATGATACTTAGATATAACGAATAAAGTTTAGGAGTGGGAGCTAAAATGTCATTTCTACGTATAAAATGTACATAGAAATGACGTCACGCACCATTTCCAATCAATATATCGTCGAAAGTATTCGTTTCTGTAAAAAAATAAAAAATACGTGTGTAATGTTTTAAAAGAATCTACCAGACGGACATTAAAATAAAAATTAGTCATCTACCCGATTGTATTATATTTGTTATGAAAAAAAAAACCATTTACTTGATGTACAGTTTCTTACAAATATTAGTATAATATAATTAAATTGAATTTTGTTTATTGATGATAAATAATTTTGAATTTTAGGGAACAGAGAGTATAGTGTATAGTGTAATATAATTTGAGTTATTTGCATTATCTTATTTTTTTTTATTTTTTTATTTACTAAATAATCTACTAAAGTACCTACTTTCTACTCTAATTGAACAAAAGCTAGAAACCTAAAATTAAAACAGCTATTGTTACTATCTTCACAGACATATGAAACACTAATCTAAGATCTTTTTATATTGTACATTTTTATATCGTATTATTTAAGCAATAGAACTCAAATTACATTGCAGAAACTGTACAATGGCTTTGTATTTACGTTAAAGGTATATAAAGTTGTATAATGTACCTGGACTTGGCGATATGTCGTTTGAGCGAGCTCTGTAGTTGATGTACGAGCGTGGAGGCGGCGCGGTGCGCGGCGGCGCGCGTGCGCTGCGTCACCGTCGCGTGCGCGCGGTCGCTCTCCGCCTGGCCTCGACAATATTGACGACATTTAACACGCTGTCACATGTCACTGCTCGAATATGAGTCCCTCTTACGTAAAAGGGGTTTGCCATTACATTTTCTTAATTTTTTCTTAAAAAAACATTTGCCCCAACACAGACCCGAAACAAAAATTTGTGGATCACACAAAGTATTGTTCCGTGCGGGAATCCATCCCGCAACACGTTCGTTCGTTCGCAATCGAACCAGCCACCGCACCAACCGTGCAGTCATAATGTAAAACATATGCAGATAATATAGGTACTTAAATAAAAATAGCGACATGATGTAAGCAGATATACAGGATATCAAAATTGATAGGTACTTATCATAAATATCCAATATTTTAATCGGATATCTTCGAACCGTACAACCTGCAAACTACATAAGTATTTACCGACCTGATTAACCCTATGCGTGGCGTGGTTAAGCATCTCCTGCCAGGCGGGGTCGAGCGTGACGCCGGCGCCGCCCTCTGCCAGGCGGGCCAGTCCCTGCTCCGCCAGGTACACCATCTCCCGCGCCGCCGCGTGAGCACTGTTCGCCTTGTCATATGCGACTGTTGCTGTTTGCAGCTCTTGTGAGGTCTGAAACAGGACATAGGCATATTTTATGTATTTTATTTTTGAATATTGAGCGCAAAATTTCCTTATTTTTTTTATAGCATAAGTCGTTAAACGAGCAGACGGATCACCTGATGGTAAGCAATCGGCGCCGCCCCTACACACCTTGAAACACCATAGGCGTTACTAGTGCGGCAATAAAGCTTCTTTAAACAGACTGAATTGACTGCCTCGATGGCCGAGTGGTCGCAAGTGCGACTGCCGGGCAAGGGGTCTCGAGTTCGAATCCTAAGTCGGACAAAGTATTACTGGGTTTTAAAAGAATTTTCAGTAGTAGCACGGTGTCTGGAAATGTGCCCGGTATATGGCAATAGGCGCACCTCTTATTACATAGGACTCTTAAAATAAATAGTGAAAAGTGGGTGTTACATTGTACAGTGGCATTAGGTGCCGTAATGTGCACCTCTGCCTACCCCTTGTTGTGATGTTATGTCAATGTTTTTTTTTTTATATTTTTATTGTTAACTAGCTTCTGCCCGCGACTTCGTACGCGCAATCCCATTTTGCCCCCGTTCCCGTTCGTGATTTTCAGTAAAAAGTATTGTATAAAAAGTATCCTATGTCCGTCTCCTGGTTCTAAGCTACTTCCCTGACAACTTTCATCTAAATCGTTTTAGCCCTTCTTGAGTTATAAATAGTGTAACTAACACGACTTTATTTTATATATATATATATATATATATATATATATAGAATATAGATTATTAACTCCCCACAGACTCTTGGTCCGTGCCCTTGTCATACATTTTCTTTTTCCAATATGTCTAATAGTACCTACATTACGCAGTACAATTAACCAAATCTATTTTATTTATTTATTTATCAATTTATGTACCTACACCACACAGACAATATTACACAGGACAACACATTATAAACATGAGGTACATAGGTACTGCATATCCCTTAAGGGATTTCTTCCTGCAGACCTGCGACAGGAAAAGGAAATTAAACATAAGACATAAGACACAGTGTAGATAGATGATACATGCAACGAATACAGAACAAAATATAATTACTAATTACTCTATAATTATCATTGCAAGAATACATTACATAATAATCTATATAAATAAAAATTAATTTCTGTTCGTTAGTCTCACTAAAACTCGAGAACGGCTGAACCGATTTGCCTAATTTTGGTCTTGAAATGGTTGTGGAAGTCCAGGGAAGGTTTAAAAGGTGAGAAAACTATTTAGGCGGTATGAAGTTTGCCAGGCCAGCTAGTGATTAACTATTTTGACGGCTCTACGAAATCATCCCATCAACTTGAGGGGAGAATGATAGGATACTTACAATATTAGCTCTGAATCTAGCTTCATAATAAGGCCTGGCTTTGTGTACACTGGTACCAAGCTTCTTGGTAAGCTGTTGAATCCGCAGGTGTCCCTCTGCAAGCAGTCTACGGAATGCCAGCCGAGCCTCATCCAGCTCAACTTCAAGCCTGTTGATCTCATCTGTCGCAGTATTTAGACGCTCTAGTTCAATCTGCAAGTTAATATTGTCTTATTGAGATACATCATCCATATTCATTTCTTAACTAGTTGCTGCCTGTAACTTCACCCGTGTAGAATATAATTCCTCTTTTATCCTATTGGAGCATTTAATCGGGATGAAATGTATCCTACCACCTAAATCAGCCCATACCCTGCCTGTAAACCATATTTTATCAAAATCTGTTCAGTAGTTTCAGTTTTATAAGGGACTCATAACATAAATAGTGAAAAGTGAGTACAGTGGCATTAAGTGCCGTAATGCACCTCTTCCTACCACTTTGGGGATAAAAGGTGTGATGTTATGTTATGTAGTTTCAGTAGTGATTGATGGACAAACAAAGAAACTTTCACATTCATAATATTTATGTGATTGATTTAACTATAAGGAAGAATAATTCAGAGATACATTTTAAGTCAAAGCCTGTGTAGTAGACAGTAAACATTTTCTAATGAAATAAATTTTAATCTATATTCTGTTAAAATAATAAAAACTTATTATTACTTGGATTGAACATACTAATTTAAATGGTTTTGGTCTTGTATAAAATTAATTAGGGTGAGTGTACCAGTAGCAAATTGATTAAGCAACATTTTGATGCTGTGACTCGATTATAACAACAATCATACCTAGACCAGACCTGCTACTGGACTAGACTACCTAGAAAAAGTGCTAAACATATTTTTTTACACCAAAACACCTTGAAGGAACAACCAAATAGTTTCTTGTTCCTTTCTCTCTGACACACATTTATTTCAAGTTTGCTTTTATTTAGTACAAATACAAATGATTACCAACCAAATGCACTTTCATTTAAATAAGAAAAGTTGAGTATAAACATTGAATATTATGAAATTAATTTCAATAGATCTTCTAACTTGATTTTTCTTCCAAGAATTTGTTTCTACTAAGTCTCAAGTGTTAGATATTAAACGTAAGAGTCGCTAGCAGCGGACGTATGCAATTGTGCCATTGTTTAATTGAGAATTATTCTGTTGCATAACAAAAACATATGATCGAGTCTGCGATTTTTTTATTTATGCATTTATTTACTTCTATCATCAAAAACTTCGTTGGTAATTAAAGAAACATATCTCAATAAGCATTAAGATAAGAGAGGAGGATTTATTATGTAAAATACAGTGGACTTATTTCATAAATTACCTCTGAAAATATCGATTATCCCTACCTGAACGCGAGGATCCAAAGCTTCCGAGCATTCGGCGGCGCTATCGTTCATTGTTTCCTCAACACAATAACATTTTAATGAAATTTAAAGTTATTAAAACCTTTCTTCTTGTTGTTACAGTTGTTCTTTTGTGAAATAAACATTATCATCGCTGAAAACAAAAAGAAAAGAAATATCAAATAACTTTGGTTCTCAATTCAATACCGCCCGCTGCCAAAACACAGATTGTTAATTGAAACGTCATTTTAATACGTCAATAAAATATTAATAGTCGATTATTTTAAAAATGTATACACCTTGCTTTATGTGCATTCCGTTTAGTGTTATTTTATTTAATAACAAATTACACTTATTAAAGTTTTGGTAATTTAACAAACCATTTTTTATTTGCATTATTTGTTATCTGTGAAAAAAAATATTATTCATTCAGTCATTCACTGTCACTCTCATTTTTAGACATTTCACAAAAAATCGCAGTTTGTCATCAACGAAGACCGTATTGGAATTTAAAAAATGGTATATATTTGAATAACTTTTCCATTTTCTCAGTTTTACGTGTTAGATTATTACAACAATTATTGTGCTTTACAGGCGACCGAAGTAGAAGACACAATCAAGCGAATCCAAGCCCATAAAGGTGTTATGGGTGTCATCATCGTGAATCACGAAGGTTTGGTCGATTTTTTTCATATTTCCATGGTTACAGGGGCATATTATGCAAGTCTCGAACGTTCTCCCCGTGTATGCATTCCGATCAATACTACATATCCAACAGACTTGTGAAAACAGCTGTGATAAACGCAATGCTTCAAATGTTTACTTTCTAATTTCAGGTATTCCTATCAAAAGCTCTTTGGACAATGCTACATCTGTATTATACTCCGGACTAATTGGTCAACTCACTGAAAAGGCCAAGAATGTTGTGCGTGAAATGGTAAATATTTATTTATCTAATCAATCTCCTAATAAGTCTAATAGGAAAGTTGTACCTTGATATTGACCATAAAACTTTGTTATTATTCCTAACAAGAGTAAGCAGTGAAATCTTTTAACTAATTAAGAATTCATACCAGCATTTTATCGAAGCTACTTTACTTTGTGCAAGAAGATTATTCACCTCTGACTACACTTTATACATTATAAGGTGTGATGTTATATTAAAGTTACAAAATACAAACCCAACTTGAGTCCTCAATATATTTCAGCTTAATTCTTACAACTATATCATAATACTTTTTCAGGACACAACAAATGAACTTACATTTCTTCGCGTGAGGAGTAGGAGACACGAGATCTTGATTGCACCGGATCGTGAATTCATACTCATAGTCATTCAAAACACTTCTGACTAGCTTCACAATGAAAAAGACTAGCACATATTTAAATTAAGGGGCCTTGAAACCATACCACTAATCTTGGAGCTGTATTACATATTCTCAATAAAAAGCAAGAAAAGTAATTCTGCATGAAAGTATGATGGCAAAGTACTAAAATACACTTAACATAATACAGCCGCAAGATAAAATATAAAAATTATCACACTATTCCCACATTATATTTAGACTATAATAAAAAAAAAACATTATTACACTGTGGTTGGTTTGGCCTCTTTGAAAAAAGAATATTGCACTAGCTCAAGGAGTGTCACTAAATAAGAATCAATTTAATTTTAAAAGCTTTCATTATTATTTTTAGAAATAATTAATTTATTACTAACAAGAGCATTCCTAAAGTGCCATTTGTGCAATTTCTTTGTTAAATTGGCAAAATATGTATGGCTAAGAGCTATTGAAGTGACTAGACCCTGTTTTGCATAGCAAAGTATGAATAAAGTTTGTGCCAAGCAACAAGGGCAATTGGATTTCAGATTGGCAGTTCAAAACGTTGACAGACTTGAAGAATTAAAATAATAATACTTACTAGTTTTTAAGTTGCAATTATTTTTACTAGTGATAGGGATAATTTTTTTTTACAAAAATAGTCTTGTTTTTTAATTCGTTTTGAGTTCGATACTTCATTATTTTCTTGAAACTTTTGTGATTTTATTTTATTCATGTATTGTAAGAACACTAATAAATATTTATACACATGATTATGACTTTTATAATTTGAAATCTAACACGGATAATGCAAATCCCATTATAGATATTTTTACTTCTAAGCCTCCGATAGGTACATAAATAATTATAGTAGTCTTCACCCCCATTGGGAAGCGTAAGTAAGTGGGACTATGGACAACATAATTATGTATATTAAGAGATCAATGTCTAGATAATCAACTAATGTATTGAAATGATTTTGATGTTCGCTGCTCAGCTACTATACTACTAGTACTATCTAATACAAATATAATTGTTCAATTCAATTGAATAATTCTTTGAATTTGTATTACAAATAGGTAATTATTTAATTCGATTGAATAATTTTTTGGATTGGATAGTACATTATTGAAAAAGGCTATAAAGAGTCACGCTACGATTGGTAGGAGCTGAGCAGTGGGTGTAATTAGTAATGAAGATATTTGTATGGTCATCCTGTTTTGATTGTCTAATGCCGGAATACTGAAACGTTACTCAATTTTAAGTCGTGCTCAAATATCGTGCCATCTCTGTCATTTTACAAAGAATTTGTAGAGATAGAACTACACTTAAGCACGACTTAAAATTGAGTAGCGTTTCAGTATTCCGACATAAGGATGTAAATATGTAGGTATGCTGGTTCAATAGATCTTTGGGGTAAATAAAACCATTGTTAGGCTGAAAAGAAACATTTATTGTAAACCTGGAAATAGTACAAAAATATATTATAAAGAACAAATAAACATGTATGAGATGAGAGATGTATGACATTCCTGTGAGGATGAATGTATGATTAAAAGTATTGAGGTCCATAAGAACATGCATCGACAAGAGTAATTTTGCACAAATGATTGTGTTTTAGATCCATGACAGCCAGTGGGAATTTAAAATGCATCATTGAAACTCCATTGCTTCCAAAACAAACCAACTTTTGGTACTTACTCTTTAGCAATACCGTTTTTGATGTCTTCAGCTGGATGGTATATTACCAGGTCCATATTGTTTAGTTTTCGTTCGAGTTTCCCGACTGCTTATATCAAGAATGATGTAAAATGTTTGTGAACAACCCACAAAGGTAAGACAACACCTGGAACACTGAATAGAAGCTTTCTGTTATCAGTAAATAAATGAGATTAGGGTCTCCCCACATCTATCGACGAGGAATCAGCTAACACCGGACTAAAAAGCGTTTATCTCGTTAAAACTAGACAGCGCTGTAAGCAAGCACCGCTTACACGCGCCTTATTATTTTTGGCGCCACCGTCGCTATTTGGGCAGTTGGGCATGCACTTTTCACGGCGCCCCTTAATAACCTGGCGCCCTAGGCATTTGCCTAATTTGCATAAAAAGGCTCTGGATGAGTGGTAGTCCTGTTCATAAGGTTAGTTCACAAAAATTTCACATCGATCTTGGCCTAAGTGGACATAAATAGCTATTGAATTAGTATTTTTATTATGTTTAAATTAATACTTAGTATTTTACACGGTCCAGTCTTCTTTCAGCAGTTTTCTTCGATATTTAATTGATAGTTGTAGATTTTGAATGCTTTGTTTCAATTATATTTTCTTGACGTTTTTATAATAGTATGATTTGGGTGTATGGATATGTGACACAGACAAACTTAACTTTATCTGGATTTACTTCTAAATTATATGCAAATACTGGCACTTTTCATTATTGCCTATTGATAGGCGAGAGTTATATCAATGTTTGTAATTTGAAGGTTGGTTTGAGCTGATATCAAACACAAATCGTCTTAATTTGTATTGAACGATTAGAATTAGCCCACCCCAATGCACAGACAAGTTTATTTACATTATTTAGAGATTCATTACTTTCAGAACTGAATTCTGTTTTGTACCAATTTAACATTTTTGGGTGTTCTTACCAATTGTATGTATTATAAAATTAAAGATGAATTATTTTGTTATTTTATTTATTTCATAGTCACACAATATTGAATACATTTATATTTTCAACATGTTTCAATGCAATATTTATTGAAGAAAGTGCAAAACCTTTTTTGATACTTTTGTAACGTTTTGGCCAGCAGCTTTCTCGTGAATCTAGTATAGATGTGCATTTTATCTAATTTAAAACATGTTGAAGGCGTTTTAACTTTAACTAATATTATTAAAATTACTTACTAACAAAGTATTCTTTTTATAAAATTGCTTTTTTGGAATTTACATATAAATACTTTTATTTCGATTTCTACCTACTTGAATGCGCGTGCGCATTTTACATTTTTTTAAAGTTGGCAGCACGCCTGCTTAAATGCTGTTTGTATTACAAAAACAAATTAAAATTAAATTCTTTTGTCAACAAAATATTTTTAAATTAATTTTATGCTGTAGATTTTTGATAGAACACAATTTGTGCTGTGATTGGTCCATAAAATCGGTTATCATTATTATTTTTAGTCAGTGTACCTTTTGTGTACTAGTAAGTTGTATTGTTTTTCTTCTGCCAATTTTAGGGATTTAATCTTCATTATTTTTCATTGTTTGTTTTATTTATCTTGTAGTTTTAGATCCAATACAACTTTTTTACTCACCTAATGGGAGCGCTTTTTGACAGTCCTGAAAACAAAAATAGAGGAATAAGTATTTAGGAATACTGTGTGAGTGAATATAGAAATTATAAACAGGCAACATAAATGTACAACGACATATCCCAAATTGTTAATTAAAAGCAAAACTAAAAAGGTGTGCACGGGCGCTTTCCAACAATATTGTTAACTTTGATGGGATGGGACATTATGCAGGGACACCTTGACACCATGTTGATATTTTGATAGCAATGAACACAATGAGACCTAAAAATGACAATATTGCTTTGATATCCCTATGTCATTGATATAAAAATGAATTTAATTGTACAAATATCTGGAAGTACCAGCTCAGTTGTAAAGTAGTATTTAAGTTATTTTCAACAGATATCTGAGCAATACAGTCATCTGCTACACTAAATGAATTGGAGGCAGCGCCGTCGTGCACTAAAACAAGTACGAACGGCAAGTGGCTCTACTTGGGCGGGCGCGCGTAGGGCTCGGGGCGCACGTAGTGGCGCGGCGCGTGGTGCTGCGCCTGCATGGGAGCCTGGCGCCGCGTGCCCACGGCGCGGGCTGACTTGTAGTCGCGGTTGTCCTCCTTGTACCCGTAGCTGTCATCCTCGTAGTACCGCTCGTGACTACGCTCGTAGTAGAAGTCCGGCTCCGGAGCTGCGCCCCGGACTGGGCCACGAATCTATACAGTTATAATTTATGTTGTAATTACACTGCACTTTGGCGTTATTTCTCAAGGTCGATATCTAATACTTCCTTTCTGTGGACGCACGGCAGAATGGAGATTTGACTTAGACAAATTATAAATAAACAGATTTTGCACTCCCTGATAACGACAGGATCCTGGACGTGAGGTAAGTCTGAATAAGACAAGTACAAACCGGTGGCTCCGGCGGCTGTGCATATACATCGTCGTAGGGGTACGAAGTCTCCATAGCGTTGCGTGCACGGTCTAGGATGCTGATAACCTTGTTCTTGGGCGGCATGGCGCGAGGGATGGGCGGCGCCGGCGGCATGCGGGGCGGAGGCCGGGCGCCGCGCGGCGCACCTGCGGGGGCAGCAGTGGTTGGAGCGGCGCTGGGCTCGAACGAGAACGAGCGCGGGGTCACGGTGCAATTGAAGCTGGGGACGCGCCGCCCGGCCGCGTTGCCTGCCGGGGAAGGCCACGTTATGTATCGCGACCCACGCTCGTCTCGTTGCATTGTGTTAATCAAAGCACTATGCAGTTATGTTACAGATATCGCGAAACCACTATGTAACCAATTTGAATGTATCGTAGCCATAAACAAGTGTCCCTATTTATCATTAGGAGGAATGCAAGTTTCTCTTATAGTAGGAGATCCCGCCTTGAACGACCTTCACCGAGATGCTTATTTGATGAAACATATTTTATATTCAATTTAATATGTCAATAATTATATTCCGTATGGGTTGCCTAATAAATTTCAGTCCAGAACATGACTAATTAATAATTTAAAAAATATTTTTTTTCAAATGTTTCACCGGTTTGACTATTAAACAAATTCCATTTCAATCGAAAGTATGAAGCCCATAGAATATGGAAACGTTAGGTTGCCTATTGTATTCCAGTCATAACTCTCGGGTTGCCAGGTCTAAACAGGTAAATTTATAGTAGGATTTTGCAACGGCCTGATAATTTAATCAAATTTAATTCAAAATAAAGATTATTTAATTATGAACACGGTAAAATAGGGTTGCCTGCGAAAAATCAGTCCTGAATTAGGGTTGTCGAATTTTAAAAAGTGAAATATTGCCGCGAGTGAATAGGTAAGACTGAGAGGTCCCAAGCAACCGTTCCGTGCGTTGGAAGAGGACAGAGCATAACAGCTGCTTTTTAATGCTGCTGCTGCTATTTTTGTGTCATTAACAGAAGCTGCTGATATTTTCATTGAATATAAAATAAAAATAGTTCAAGAATTTATAGCTTGTATGTATAGGATTAAGAATTGCACTAATGTGAATAATGCAAGATATCGCATTATTATGAAAAATTACTCTGCTAAAGAAGACAGTGAGCAGTTTCTAAAAAAAACAAAAGCTTTGACTCCAACTCCATACCTCCGTGCTGCATATCATTACCACAAAAAGTTTTACAAACTATTTAAGTAAATTCGATGTGGCTGAATGCAACAGATCCAATATGTATCAAACTTAAATCTGAGAGCTGTGGTTGGTACTTAGATGAATATTTAAAACCACGAGGATTTATTGGGGATCATGCACCTTTAAGAATAGATGATATTGTTGAAAGAACCGAAACAGAGAGAGATGACGAAGAAGATGCAGGTGTCGAAGATCTAAGCTTTATTTCCGATGACTCAGGAGCTGAATAATAAAAAAATATATTTCTTTATAATTTTGTATAGGTAATAAACAGTGATTTTTTTAGTTTTTTTTAGAAATTGCTCACTGTCTTCTTTAGCAGAG